AGTGATAGAGTTAATATGTTTTTGTTTTTTTTTTAGTTTTAAATTATAAAAATGAAGATAATAGTGATAGAGTTAATATGTTTCTGTTTTTTTTTTAATTTTAAATTATAAAAATGTATTTTTAAATTATTTAAAAAAATTATTTATTTTATATATTTATATTTATCTTTTGTTTAATAAACTTAAGCATAGTGTTTGTTTTTCAATTTAGAAAATGATTTTGAAAATTTTTAATTTTTTATTATTTTGATAGGTTAATTTTTAAAATAAAAAGATATTGTTTTAATATATTTATAATTTGGTTTTTAAAAAACTACTATCAATACGATTTCAAGCATTTACTTAATAGTAATTTAACACCTAAGCCTTCTTCGTTTCAAGATTATATTATCTTCATCTATCCCTTTCAACATTCCACACTTCCTCTCTCTGTCCACAAACTTCTGACTTCAAATCCATCCTCTTCCTCCAAAATCCCTGAAATCTGTTTCTCCTCGAAAAACCCATTTGCATGATCTCCAAAACTTGAGATTCTTCGAACCATGGCGGCGGCGACAATGGCGACGGCGGCGGGAGCAGCGATGCTGATGTATTACATATTAGTCCGGAGACTTGCGGCAGCGAAGGGCGTTGATTTATCGAAATCGAGGTCGGGGAGGAGGAGGATTGTCAGAAGACCGGTACAAGCGCCTGCCACTTGGCTAGAAACAATAACAACATTATCAGAGACGCTTAGGTTCACTTACTCTGAGACTTTAGGAAAATGGCCCATTGGTGACTTGGCTTTTGGAATCAATTATCTCTTAAGGAGACAGGTATATATTAAGAACTGTGTTTTGATTTATATGGGGTTGTGTTGAATTTGTGTTTTGTTTTTGAAGTTTGTCTTTTTATCATTGAGCATGTGAATTTTAATATTTTTTTTGTGCGTTCAGTTATTTTACTTGTGAAGAGAGAAAGGAGATAGTTGCTCTTCTTGTAAAAACTGATGCTCTAGTTTAATGAGTAATTATTTGTCGAAAATGTGTGGTCTTTTTTTTTATGATTTTTTGTTTGTGTTTTGAGTTATTTTTGGCTTTTTAATGTAATCATTTTTTTTTAGTTATATTTTGCTTTCTGGTGTAAGAATTTACTGCTTATTTGGTTGTTTAGCTTAAGCTTAAAGGAGTTAATTAGTGTTTTGATTGCTGTAAGTAGTGGTACTTTACTGTAATTGGTTATGTATACTTTGCTTGGCCTTTTGCTTAAGATCAAGTGTAATTAGTTATTTATTTGTTCAGATTTGTATATTTAGGGGAATAATGCAGCAGCCCTGGATGCAGATGACATGCCTTAATCTTAAACTTTGATTTGCATTACTCTTTTCTTAGGCCTTTGAGGTTTGGTTAATGTGTTTAATCGAGGGTTTTTTTTTTTTTTTTTTTTTTGTAGGGTAATTTGCAAGTTGCAAGTGTATATGCTGGTGGTAATTCTGTACAACTGAAAGGCCCTGACATCATAGCAGAGATGTACGATCTATTGAGATTGTTGACCCTTTGCATGTATTTTTCAAAGAAGCCATTTCCGATCTTTTTGGACTTGGCTGGATTCTCCCAGGAGGATGTTCTTATTCAGAAGCCAAAAGCAGGGGTAGGTGACCATATATAATGCAATTTGTTAGTGTGCTTTGATCTCTTTCTTTACATCCAAAGTAAGCTGTAAACTTCTTTTACATAGGGTTTTACATAATGTCTCCTTATCCTCTCTTTAGATATAGTTAAGCCTGTATTATGGGTTGTTATCAATTTTAAGTAGATTTTTCTGCATTTCTCGTTCTGTCTGTTCTTTTGAAAACGCTGTGCATACACTGCAATTTCCTTTACAGGTGAAACGTCCTGCTTTTACACCACTAAGAAGATTCTTTACGTGGTGCCCCTTGTCAAAATAAATTCACAAAGGACTGTGGAAACAAAAAGCTGATTTTAAGTACCTTATTTTACAGTTTTTGGCTGTTATTTCTGAAAAGGAAAGAAATAGAAAGGTACACTATTGTAAGACATTGTCTTTCCTACTTGGCATGCCCCAACTAGGAGACTTGAACTGGATAACATCATATGTGATTGGTAGCATAGTCAATGGACCCCAAATCTTAAGCATGCCTAAAAGTCAAGACTGCTGCCTTTTCTTGTCAACTTTTCCTCTTAGATTTACTTGTCCCAGAAAGGTTATGACACTGAACATACTTAAGATTCTTTTCATGATTCAGCTCAGTTTAAAGCATCAATATATGAGGTGTGCAACTTTTTTCCATTGTAACAGTATTCTGGAAGAACTTGTTTAGATGATGTTCTTCCCATGTATCGTAATCTCTTTATGATCCTACCTTCTGCTTTATTTTTGTTCAAAATGTTAAATGAGTATTCCTTTTAATTTCCACAAGTCTGAATGCAGCTTCTGAAGCCTGCTTTCACAATTATACATGATAAAAATTCAAAACAATTCCTTCTACTGATTCGCGGTACTCATAGCATCAAAGATACACTAACAGCAGCAACTGGTGCAGTGGTCCCCTTTCACCATTCGGTTTTACATGATGGTTGGATTAGTAATTTAGTTTTAGGCTATGCACACTGTGGAATGGTTGCTGCAGCTCGTTGGATTGCCAAGATGATCTCTCCTCTCCTGCTTAGGGTACATGGCGACTATCCCGACCACAAAATTAAGGTAATTGAATATATGTTTTGGCATGGATTCATCTTACTCGCATTAATGTCTCTGGTGTACACTTACATGGTATTAGTTTAAGATGCTAATATGTAGTAAGGTTTACCTGTCTTTGAACTCTCCTCTAATTATTCGGTTATCATTTACAGATTGTTGGGCATTCACTTGGTGGTGGTACTGCGGCATTATTAACCTATATACTTAGAGAACAAAAGGAGCTCTCTTCTAGTACCTGTGTCACATTTGCCCCAGGCATGTGCTATTGACTCCTGGTGATCTTCTATTTTGTTTTGACATTTACTTGGTTAAGCTTGTACTGGATTGGATACTTGTCATGCATGCTGTTTGCATTTGAATACCAATATTAATTTGTAAGCTGAGATTCTGTGCTGTAGGTGCAATATTCTGTTTTCAGGATCAACCCCTGGATTTAGTTGTCATCGTGTGTGAAATGCTCTTTGCGCTTTGATTCTTATGGGAGATCTTATTTGGTTGAAAGAGGGTATACCTCCGGGTTGCTTTGATACACTCTCTAAATGCCTTTCGCTACTTTATTTGCAGCTGCATGTATGACATGGGATTTAGCAGAATCAGGCAAGCATTTCATTACGACTGTCATTAATGGATCTGATCTGGTGCCTACATTTTCAGCTGCCTCTGTTGACGATCTTCGCTCTGAGGTGCTGAAATTTGTTCCTGAGAGGGTCAAACATTGATGTTCATTCTTTACCGTCCACTGTCAAACTCCTGACTTTTAAATGGTTGTCAACCAGGTCACAGCATCTTCATGGCTAAATGATTTGAGGGATCAGGTTGAGCATACCAGAGTCCTAAATGTTGTTTATCGCTCTGCTACTGCCTTGGGATCCCGTCTACCATCCATTGCTAGTGCGAAAGCCAGGGTTGCTGGTGCAGGTGCACTTCTGCGACCTGTCTCCAGCAGCACTCAGGTAACATGCTTGTGGTTGTGAATTAGTGGTCCAGGGTTGTAATCAAGCCACCACCGTTTAGTTCTAATTTGGAATGAGTAAAAACACCTGTAACTCACATTTTGTCTCCGAATTGAATCAGGATTAAAATAAGATTTTTCTGAATTTTATAATTGTTTGATATAGGTTGTGATGAAGCGAGCACAAGATGTTGCCCAAGCTGTTGCCAGAACACGCCCATCTTTAACATCATGGTCGTGTATGGGGCAACGTCGACGTTCTGTGGGCCCTTCATCTGTAAATTCTAACATACAGGATTTGCCTGAAGCTACTATATTATCTGAAAACTCTGAAGCTCTTGTGACAGAAGTCCAGACAAAAGACTCACTGCAGATCAAACTTGAGTCCAGCTGTGGTTCAGGTCATGATGATGCCGGGGAAGATGAGCCTTTTTTATCTGACGGTAGGGTCATGACTTCATCAGTCATGGAAGAGGTTACTGAAGGTCAGTTGTGGTATGAACTGGAGAGAGAGCTACAAAGGCAAGAGAGCGAAGTTGATATCCAAGCGCAGGAGGAAGAAGCTGATGCAGCAAATGAGATTTTTGAAGAAGAGAATGATCTCGCCAAAGCAGCTGAAGCAAAAACTCACATCACCTCAGAGGATCTGTCAGAGAGCCAACTGTTCTATCCTCCTGGCAGAATCATGCATGTCATTTCCATACCTTCATCAGATACTGCTAACTTAGAACTTGATGAATCCACTGAAGAACACGTAGGTTTATACGAAACTCCCAGAGAACTGTATAGTAAGATCCGACTGTCAAGAACAATGATCAATGATCATTACATGCCTATGTATAAGAAGATGATGGAATTATTAATCCAAGAACTGGAAAATGAAGATTGTAGCTGTGTTATGTTTGAAGATTAAATATATATAATAGAAAACACGTTTCGCATCAATCACTGATATTTTATGTTCTAGAGAAAATATATACACGTTGGAATATTAGGCTGACAGATTTCAGTGTGATAGATTTGAAAGAGAATTTTCGTCTTTAATTTGTGGTTTATGAAAGACACCTTCTATAAAATTTATGTTCTGAGTTGATTCTTGATTAGCAAGCTGACTTCTTTTTTGGGGTCAGACTGGGTTTTGTGGTGGGGAAAAATGACAATTACGTTGTAGCTTTGGAAAAATCACTAGCATTTCTGGGTTCTTGATCGATGAAATCCACACGGGTCTTTGCTAGTTATCCATAACGTTCTTGATGGAAATTGGTGGGAGCCATATCTAATAACACAGCCAAACCTCTGCTTGGCTAAAAACATTTCTAACGTTCGGATGAAAGTCGCTTGAAATCCATCATTTCTGCTCGCTTTGACACTCACTCTCTGGCAATTGACGCTCACTCTCCCAGCCCGAATCTCTGGAGAGAAGGATGAACGTCGCTTGAAATCCATCATTTCTGCTCGCTTTATCATAGATGGTGTGGACCCTAAGATTCCCATCTATCCCGAGTCGAAGAAACGACAGTGTGTTGTTGTAGTTGACTCTGGTGAGTATGGCATCTTGGAAAGGAGTTGAAAGAGCAAAATCATAATAAATTCCATCGGCTTCTCCTCGGCTTACAGAGTTACATTCTGAACACGACCCTTGGATTCGCTTAGCTTGTCTGAGTGTAGAGAAGATAAAGGCCTAGGAGAGCTAGGGCTCTTGGAGTACATGGCTAGTCTTTTTGGTTCCAAAACCAAGCTATATGGTCCATCGGAGTTTTCCTTTTCAGATGCCCGACTCACAAGCCTAGCTGTTCCTTCAACACGAAGAGACTGCCCCAGTAAAAGAGTATCGGTGGGATGGTCAAAACTTTGCCAAACAAAACCGCCCTTTGAATCATGAAGCACCATGTTGCCATTGGGAATTGGAAGCCAACAACTCCTTTCTGGGCATTGTAAGTTTGCCAGGCAATGCTTCCATCGGCATCAGCCAAGACAAGGTTTCCATCTTCACCAAGAGTGAGAGTGGCATGTACACGTACTGGTTTGTCTTGGTTGGTTTCTCATATAAAATTCAATTATATTTTTAATAAAATTTAATTATATTCATAAATATTTAATTTTAAACTTTTATTTTTTAAATTAAATTTTCTTTGTTAACAAAATTCTCATCAATTAATAAAATACTTTCACATTTTAATCCTTATATTTTGCAACCTCCTCAACCAATTTTAATTATTTTTAGAATGCTCTAGTATTTTCTTTCACTTTATATTTTTAATAATATTTTTTTATTTTTTTTATTTAATGTTTGTCTTTTTAATTTTTGCATAGAAATTCAAAAATAAATTATGTCAAGTAGAAATATATTGAACAACATTGATCTGTTATTATATGTTTAATTAATTGAAAATGTCGATCAGCAAATCTCGACTACCTTCTTATATTATATCTATACAAATAATATTCTATTTTTTATTTTAAAATATATATTGCTAATATTATTCTAGGCATTAACAACCGGATTCACAATCCATATGTTTGGTAAATTTTAGTCTTTAATATTTTCCATGTGGATCTAGTAGATGAAAAGAGAAGCATAGCCAATTTGATTATTTCATAAATAAAAATATAGTCATTCCTTTTTAACAATCCATCAGGGCTCCTTGACACGATTCGCTCTCAGAATTAAGTTAAATATTTTTAAAAACAACCCTACTATAAGTTTACTAAAGTAACTCTTATAACAGCAATTACATATATAAAAAAAAAAGATAGAAAAAGTAGAACAATATTATTAAGCACCAATAGAAAAATGGAGCCTTTAAATATAATAATATTATAACAAAAGAGATTATGAGAAAACCTACCTTAGATAGAGGGCTCAATTACCCACTTGAACTATCTTGAGGTTACTAAATACATTTTCAAACAGAGAAGAACATAGAGAAAACCTTACATTAGTTCTTCTATCTATCTGTTGATTATTAGTTCTGAAGTAAAACATTTTTTTAATGGGGTTATCTATTTATTAGGAATTTAAAATCAAGATCATTTTTGAAAATGGGACGGTAAGGGAAAAAAATTGAAAACTAGCACAGATGAAAAAAGTCATAGGAAAAAGCTTTAACTAAAAGGGTTGCGCTGTTTATAACATCGCAATCTACAATTTCTTTTAAAATAAATAATGTATCATATAAACACAGACTAAAATCTATTTTTACCTTTACTAAAAAAATTATTTCCTCTCCTTTATAGGGCATCGACCCAAAGAATTGGAGTTTGAACTTCAAATATATTCAAATGTTTACAAGCTACAGCTTTCTTTTCCTCCATCTACAGTTTAAAATCAAAGGAAGTGAAATCTAAGATGATTTGCCATTTTGAAATACCAATACCTTTCACAGACCGCAGATACGTTAGCACAGCAATTTATTGAAATTAGCCACCGTAACGTGTCTTCAGGGACTCCGGGGGCACTTCTTCCATTATGCCAGCTCCTGTTGTAGCTAGGTACTCACGAATGGTTGTTTTGCGGTCTCCAAGGAAAGTGTGTTCCAAAAAATTGTTGTAGGCTGCATCGCTGAGATTCTTCGCTGCCAACACACTGCACAACGCTTAATAACCCTCAATTTATATGAACAAGAATTTTAGTAGCAAACAGAGGATTTATGCTAATAGAAAGTTTTGATCCCGTTTGTTTTTGCATTTTAAAAACGCTTTTAAAAATATTTAATTTTTTTTCTTAGCTTCAAATTAATATTTTTTTTGTTGTTTTCAAATCATTTTAATACGCTTATATCAAAAATAATTTCTTTAATACATTTCTGAATGAAAAGTATTTTTAAAAAATAACCATAAACTTGCTTTGGTGAACAATTCAAAGTGTGACAAGAAATCATCTTATCAACAGAAAAAAACCAGTCAAATTTCTTTATTGACAAGTAAAGGGTCAGGCCTTTGAACACCAACTTTTTATGGATGTCCATATCTGATAGATGGTAGCAAATCAATGCATACTTGAAAGCACACACCATAGGCTTGTCAAAAATACCACTTACCAGTGACGAAGATAAGCACGACAAGGTAATATATCATCTCTCCAGATCTTATCAATGTTATATCTTCCATAATGCTGAAAATAAATCTCCTTACTTCCTGCATGAAATTAGCTAGCAGATATAACAATCCCATCTATTACAGCAAACAATAACCAACAAGAGAAAACCTCGAATGCTAATTATTGCTCATTCATATTTGTAGTGCATGGTGAACCTTTTCATTATATAATAAAAAATATTTCTAATTCTCCTTGATTAAATAGAGGTAGCTCTCAGAAGTTAAAATGTTAGAAATTCCAAATTTTTGAAGTACTGCAACCTTAGCAGACAATCAACATCATCCTGGATCAAAGAAAAAATAGTTCTCATTTATCAAAAAATCACAGGAAGCTGGCCATGCAAATATAATCATGAAATGCAGAACTGCTAATCATGGCCATTCCATTCTCAATACTTGTATGTAACATTACAGGTGAAATCCTGTACAAACCTTTGCATCTAACTTGGAAAAACTCTTCATCATTATAACGTGCACAAAGCACCTGCATCAATTCCCAAACCAGTAAGCAAATCTGTTAGCAACAACTTGTCATGCAGACGATATCAAATAACAACATTTTTCACAATTTCAAACCCACACATACCGCAGGAAAATCAAACGGCTTGCCATCCAGTGTTTCAGGCACAACCTGCCACAGGTAAACAAAGCAAAGTAGATACTAGAAATCAGAACAATGTTTATCAATAACAGTCAGTCATCCAACGACTTACAGCCAACAACTTACAGCTAGAAATCGAAACTCGAGCTCCCTCTCCATAAAAGCTGGAATCTAACTTCACGAAGCAACAAATTCAATTAAGGTTCAATGGTATAACAAATATAATCACATATTTCTTTCTCAATTCTTCAAATATCAAAATAATTAATTGAATGAAACACAAAACCTCAACAACAATTCTTTAATGTTTATAACTAAATAAAATACCTCTGATTTTTCAATCTCAAAAACTGTAACTACTAGACTTTCACCTTCACACGGCTCCACACTCAAGCTCGAAATCTCCTGCAAAAATTTAAAATTTAAAACCCTAACAAGAATACCGAATTACGAAAAGCAAACCTAATTGATTTTTTTTTTTTATTATTTGTTGTGTAGTGAAGAGGTATGAATGACCTTGGTTTCAGGCTTGGCGATACCACGCTCAAAGAAAATAGGAGCTACGTGAGCAAAGACCCGTCTAAATCCATTCAGTCTTGCAACTCTAAAGTTGAGTAGATCTGGAAATGTACTTCTAGCACTTCTCTCAGAGAGGAGAGAGCCGAAGCCGCAGACGGAGATGAGATCGGAGTCGGACGAAGAGAGAAAACTGCGGAAATCAGAATCGTCTCTGAGTTCGATCGGTTCCGGTCGGGAGATCGCAGAGGACATGATCAGAGACAGTCGCCGGGGAGGAACCCGGCTGCCGGAATAGCGAGGGAGACTGAAAGAGGGGAGTGCGGCGAGGTTGTTTGTGAGAGGTGAGGTTGAGGAGGAGATTGGGAAGAGAATTGTTTTCACATTAGAAGCACGTGAGCAAGGAAAGTGAAGGAATGGAAGGGGGATAGAAGTGATCATGGCATGGCAGGTGTTTCTTTTGGTGGTGATGGAGAGGGCCAGGATCAGGATGGAGCGTAGCGTTTTAGTGGTTTAATTGGGGTGTCCCTTACTTCACATCCATCGCACGTCAGCTTCTTTAATTTATTTACTTTTTATTCGCATCAACGATGTAAATCGGCTTTGACGTAATTACTTAGATTTTTTTTGAAAAATTAAATTTTTTATTTTAAATTAATTTTTAACATGTTTTCCTATTGTTTTAATGTTCTCATATTAAAAATATATTTTAAAAAATAAAAAAATATTATTTTAATATTTTTCTAAACAATTATTTTTGAAAACAATCATTATTATTGTTTCAAATTATTTGCATAAATTTTTAATTTTTTAGGTTTAAATTTTTAAATTATTATTTAAAAAATTTATTAATTTTCTTTTAATACTTTAGTTCATACAAGAGATGTATTTTAAAATTACTTAAATAAAGACTTAGGTTTGATTTAAAAATATTTTTATTATTGAACAAATGAAAAATAATAATGTAATTGTGTCTTTATCATAGTTTTTTTCTTTTTCCCATTACAGATAAGAATCTATAACCTAACCTATATCACTTAAATAGTATTTAATTAGTGTCTCAAAATATAAAAAACTGAAACAAAAAATATAGAGAAGATATCTCCAATTATATATATATATATATATATATATATATATATAGTTTTTTTTTTATCAATTTTTTAGTTGTAGATTAATTTGATGAAGAACAGTGTAAAAGATAACTTTAATTATTTCCTTGAGATAAGAAACAATTGGAATTTCTATTTTTTATTTTGAAAGGACAAAAAAATATTTTAAAATTGTCAGAGAAACTTTTTATTTTTTTATTTTTCTTCATTCTTTTAACTGAACACCCACAAAATCGAGAAACATTTTTTTTTTCCTTCATTCTTTTAACTGAACACCCACAAACATATATTATATACTTGTCTTGAAAAGTATCTTTAGAAGCGATGAAAGAGAGGTAGAGCGATTGAAGGAGGTATGCTCCTTTACTCAATTCTTAGACGTGTAAAATTCTTGGTCCATAATGCTTCTTCACAATTACATATACAACAACTACTAGAGTAGTTGAAGGCATTGTTCTACAAAGCGTTCATCATGTCAGCCTGTGGGGAGATCAGTTGAGGGTCGATCTGTTGAGACGGTGAAGGGTGGAAGAAGAGACAAATGGCTGAGATATCATCCATGGCAATCCCTTTTTTCTTGTACCTCCATGCACGGCCTGCGCATTCCACCAGTCTTTTAGCTGATTCTTCCCTATCTTGTGTCAAAGAAACAACCTGCACTGCTTCTTGGTTGGAAATCACATCCCATACCTGTGCAAAACAGCAAATAGCCATCATTGATTTGTATTTTACTACTTCTCATTTCTCAAGGCGAAGGCAATGTGTTAAGCTACCATGCTGACCGTACCACTTGGAGTCATTCTGCTTTTCATTGGCTAAAATCAACAGAAGTGAATAATTTGAACTGCATTTGGTTACTGTTTCGAGAAACGGAACATGAAAATGAAAATAGTTGGGGCAAAGAAGACATGTTTTCATGTCTTTTATCTTTTGAAAAGACAGAAACTCATTCTATCCTCGTTTCTTCGACCAAACATGTTTTTTCCATCTCTGTGCCTATCCTTTCGATCATGGAATATCAAGTGATTAGGCGAAAGAGTGCCATTGAGAAAATGCATACCCCGTCAGTCGCCAAGATGACAAACTGATCTCTGCTTGATATGTTTCTTCGTGTCACATCCGGTTCCGAAACGAGCCCGAAATCTTTTACGCAGTGGTCTCCAAAGGCTCTTGATAATGATAGTCCTGGAGTCTTGCCGTTTGGCATCCAGACCCTATAGACCCCTGGCTCGTCATGCAGGCAAAACACTCGACCCTTCGACTGTGTTATTCTTTCAGCCTCCTCTGCAATCAGCATCAGAAACGTTTAAACAACAAACTATAACTTATATGTGTGCATATATATATATAGAACGAGTCAAGGAATGCTCTAACCAGGTATATTAGGCTTAAAATCGATGGTAAGCTGAAGTGGAACCAAACTGCCATCAATGGAAGTGGTCGCCAACACAGCCCGAGAATCACCAACATTTGCTATAACAAGATTCTCACCCTGAAGACACCATAGTGGACAAAGAAATTTAGGCTCCTGGTGATTGGAAGCCAAGAAATTCTCAAATATTTAGCCTACAAGAACACCCTACAACCTAATTTTATTTATCATCACATTCTGCATTTCGAAACTCCAATTCTGCTCTAGTTACACCCGAACAACAATTTTATCAGCCAGGGACAGCAATTTAAGACACGAACAGCTTTGAAAAACACCAGAAAGACTTTTAGTCAATATATCTATTGTAAAGAACAAAGAGATGCGTTTACTAATAAGCACCATACCTGTTTAATAATTGTTACGGCCGTAGTCCCACTAAAAAAGGAGTCAATCTTGCGATTCTGCTTTAGTTCGTGATCAATGGCAGCGTAAGTCTTTAGGTAGGACTGCTTCCAAATATCGAATTGGTGAAGGTTTCTATCCAAATCCATCTCGAAGTCCATGTCAAGCGATGTCAACGCAAGGTTTTCTTGCCAGTTACACAGCAACAGAGAGGGTACAGATTCTCTAACTTTTTTTGAAACGAAATGGCCCCATGGTCCATGCCCATCAAAAATGCCACAGAAGATCATATCATCTTGACTCCCGAATCCCTACATGACAAGGAACAAGCCAAAAGATGAATCATGATAAAACTAGCTGCATATTGAATTCACTGTGAAGTCTTCATATGGCTTGTCTTACCTCCCACACAACAGAAGAATCCTGATTAATTCCTTTTTGCCCTCTCGTGGAGCAGACCGCTGCAAAATTATCTGTCTTACTCGACTTAACATTGCCAGAGGAGCTCAACATCAACTCGTTCTTCCTCGCATCCTTTGCCAATGCTTCTGCAGCTTCCTTTCCAGTATCTTTTTGAGAGTTTCTGCCCTTGATTGTCGATATTATTCTGCCCTTGATTGTCGATATTATTCTGGACAATCCATCATGAAAAGATGGAAAAAGCACCATCGATTCTACAGCCTAATCACACGAACTTTTTTATCTCTTCATCTAATTTAAGTTGTTTGTAACGAATGTTTTGAATAAACATCCAAGCTTATCTTCACCCGCACTTCAAAAAATAAAATAAAATAAAATATATTGTTATATTAATACCTGAGATCCCGAACTTCAATTATCAAACTTGAAATCTACATTCAAATGGTGAAATGAAAAACTTACTCGATATATACCTAATAGTTAAAACTTCATTTCTCCAACATTTTCTTGGCAACCAAACGGAACCCATTATATATTATATATCGCATTCAAAATAAGATATATAGTCGAAAAACAGAAGGCCAACAAATAAGAGAAGAAGAAAAGTGAACAAGAAACCTAGTGATATTATTTCCCTGTAGTTTCACGAGAGGAACTTCTAGCTATTAACCTGAAATTAAGCTGGGACTCTAGCCTGATATCTCCTCTGATCACCGGCCGGTATCTGATGTGATCACTCAAGCGATCCAAATTATTAGTTGTATATTGAAGGGCTCCCTGTTTTTTATACTCCAATTTCGTGCACTCTTGTCTTGCTCCTTCAACCCACAATCAACTTGATAAACGCGTACGTTGGCAAGCACTGTAGATAGCTTTACAGCAAGTCAGCAACTGTAGGTTGCTCACTGAAGAAATAGCTACAATTTGAATGTTATGTCAGCTAACGGTCGGTTTGAACAATTCACAAGGATTTTTTCAGACACCTACGTACTCTCCTTGAGGTTTTGTGTGGTTTCAGGCTTCAAAGAGTTGCATCATGGCCGCCAATTTGGATATTTTTTACGGAGCCCGATAATTCATGAGATCAACGTGAATATTAACTAGTACAATGCCGGTGCCTTTGCGACGGATAAATTTGTAAATTCCATTTAAATATTTTAATTAATTTCAAAAATCAAAATGAATTAATATTCATTGTATAATTTTTTTTTAACCAATATGAATTTTGTAGTATTTAATAATATAGGTGTATTTTATGTTAGAGTTTGAACAATAAAAAAACGCTCAATTAGTTATTCAAGAACATGCAATTGGAAGATGCAAATACCAATACTAAAAAGATTCTTAGTAATTACATAAAAAAATTATAATATTTACAAAGAATAATAATATCTTTATCTTCACCTCACATTTTAAGTTATTGATTTGAGATAGTTTTTTTTATATGATATTAATCATGAGTTCAAATTTCACTATTTTCATTTATTTGATAAAAATTAAATATAAGATAATGTGAAACTATGCAAATTTCAAGTTCAAAGAACTTTTATTTGAGGGGATGCGTTATAAAATAATATAAATTATATCTTAAAACTTTACCTAACAATTTAAATTATTGAATTAAAATAATTTTTTGATAAATATAACCATTAATTATTGATAGAAAAATAAAAAAAAGAGTTGGATAGGATACACCATGCCTACACATAAGAAAATCAGGCTTGCAAGTTTAAATTGGATGCATGGCTCGGGTTTTTTTTTTAAATATAAAAAATTAAAATGATTGATACTTGCAATGTTTTATGATCTAAGATCAAGGGTGAATAGGTTTGACTCTCCAAATTTAATCTCTATATCATTTTAAATTTAAAATACTTTAAAATCATTTCAAAGAAAAATAAAAGATAATTTTTAAACATCGAAACAAAAGAATAAGAAACCTTGATTCTCTTTCATCTCTTTTCTCTTCACTTTCTATATTTATTTAGGAACTTTATTTTAACACAAATAAAGTTAGGGATCATATTGTACAAATCTTTAAGATAAAGGATCAAACCGAATTAAAATAAAAAAATGTTTTTTTTTTTTTTTAAAAATTGCATCATCTTGAATCAAAATATCTCAATACAGTGCTGTTTTGAGAACTATTCATAGCTATATTACCTTTTAGTTTTAGGTAATCATTAATCAATCCCCATTTGTTCATTAGCAAGTTTCTAATTAACAGAAAACATCAATTTAATTATGTTGTCCTTCTTATCTATTATTTTTTAAAACTTAAATAAGAGAATTAATTATGGTGTGTGAGAGTTAGGCAGGGGATACCTCAATTCAACTTGGAATAAACTTTAAATATCCTACCATAGTATTATGATAATATTAATTTTGCATTCAAAATATTTTTTATATTTATCATTTTTAATTAAGAATTTTTATTAAAACTATCTAAAAAACATATAGATCTTTAAATAAAATGATGTTTTTTCTTATTTAAAAATAAATATGGATATAAAAATTTAATAATGTTTTTAGCTTGAACTTTTTATAGATAAAATGGAATGAAAAAGGATTAGCCGAGCATAACAATGTGCATCAAGAACAATTTAGCTAAAGGCCCAATTATGACAATTATTACAGTGCTTAATTTGCTTAGTTTAGAACTATATTTGTTACCCGTGCTTCGCTTCCTGTAGATAGAGCAAATTTTTTCTTTGATATAAAAAAAACATTAGGGTAAAGAAATCTAAACTTCAAGTTAGCTTGTTTCAAGTGATAATCTAAATAATATAAAAAAATATAAATATAATTAAAAAATATTAAAAAAGAAGATAAAAAAACAACTTCAGTCTATTCAAATTATTAAATAACCTATGTTAACATAATAAAAAAAACTATGGTAAACCTATTTATGATATTAAAAAACTCAAAAAATCATCTAAAAAATCAAAATCAATCTAAAAAAATAATCTTTCCAAGCTCATATATGTTTTTTCATAACTCTCATTATCAAATAAAATTATTTGATACAAATATTAATAGTTGTGATAGTCTAAATTAGTGTCAACAATATATTTTTTTATTTATCACTAAAATCCAACAATCTCTTTCTCTCTCTCCTCTCTTAAATCATGAACTAAAAAAATATTAAAAATGAGTTTTTATATCAAAATTAAATTAAAAAAAATATTGAGATGTCAAATATGTATAATTTTTAAAGTACGAAGATTAAATTAAAATTTTTGTATGAACTTTGAAACCATCATTTATTTATGACATCTTTTTTTACTTTGATTTTTTGTTTTTTAATTTTATTCATAATCCACAAATTTAATTCAATTGCTCTTGAATTTGATAAAAAAAAGCAATTATATAAAAAAAATTTAAAAATCAAATTATAAAAAATACAAACATTATATCCAGAAGAGCTGCAAAATATGGGCTCACATGTTTTAGCTTTTTACTTAAAAATAATCAACGTGTACATACTGAATTTGACCCAAAAAAGTAGTAATCACATGAAAAAAAAATTAAAAAAATAAACATTTATAGTGAGACTGGGAGGCTGAACGCTTTTTAGTTTTTCACTTGTAATAGTAGATTCTCTTGCTACCAAGAACATGTTCAAGCAAGTTAAGAATATTGAGGTGAAATACTGAAAACTTTATTAGTTTTGCAGTTGTAGATCAATTTAATGATACATGCAATATCAAAGGCAATACAAATATCTAGAGGGCCTGAAAAAAACCATATGCTCTTTTCATCCAATTCTCATACATGTAAAATTCTTGGTCTATAATTCTTTACAATATTTACGCAGACAGCAATCACTACAGTCGGTGGCTGAAGCTTTGTTTCTTTAAAAAGTCTTGATCATGTCTCCTTGTTTTGAGATCGTCAGAGGGGCAACTTTTTGAGATGGTGAAGGGTGAAAGAAGAGGCAGATGGCTGAGATATCATCCATGGCAATGCCTCTTTTCTTGTTCTTCCAAGCACGAACTGCGCATTCCACTAGCCTTTTAGCTGATTTTTCCCTATCAGGTGTTGAAAAAACAACCTGCACTGCTTCCTGGTTAGAGATCACATCCCATACCTACGAAAAACAAGAGGAAAAACACTTCAAAATTGTACAGATTCTTATTTGTTCACAAAGACACTAGAAATGTTGTGGAGTTGCCATGAGAAGGACTATAATTCATTCTGCTGTTTTTCTTGTTGTCTCTCTTACTCCACACTAACCTGGAGTTTTACTTGCTCGAGATGTCAGCAAAAAATGCAAAAAGAGAAGACTGAGGTGATACTTTTGTGATCATAAGAAAGATTGGAATCAAGAAAACACATACCCCATCAGTGGCTAAAATGACAAACTGGTCTCCCCTTGTGATGTTTCTTTGTGTCACGTCAGGCTCAGAAATGAGCCCAAAATCCTTTACGCAGTGGTCGCCAAAGGCTCTTGATAATGCTAGTCCTGGAGTTTTACCATTTGGCATCCAGACCCTAAACACCCCGGGCTCGTCACGCAAACAAAACACTCTGCCATTGGACCTGGTTATTCGTTCAGCCTCCTCTGCAAGCAATATAAGCAGGGAAATAAACAATCAATGCTCATATCATTATGTATCTGTGCAGGAATCTATAACTTGCGGGAGGAAAGGCCAGCTGACCTGGTAAATTAGGCTTAAAATCGATGGTAAGCTGAAGGGGCACCAAACAGCCATCATCATTAGTAGTTGCCAAAACAGCCCGAGAATCACCAACATTTGTTATAACTAGATGCTCACCCTGAACACACCATTGCAACAAAAGTATCAGGTTCCTTTAAAACATGAAAAACTCAGAATAAAGAACAGGCTGACGAGATTTTAACTCGTGATCAACAAGGTTGTTTTAATACTATGTTAAAGAACCAACTCAGTATAAAATCTTAAAGCTGCCATGCTAGTACTACTGAGCACCATACCTGTTTAATGATTGTTAAAGCTGTAGAACCACTGCAAAAGGAATCAATCTCGGGATGCTGCTTAAGTTCGTGATCAATGGCAGCATAAGTTTTCAAGTAAAACTGCTTCCAAATATCAAACTGATGAAGGTTTCTTTCTAAATCCATTTCGAAGTCCATGCCAAGCGACGTCAATGAAAGAGTTTCTTGCCATTTGCATAGCAATGAAGAGGGTACAGATTCTCTAACCCTTTTAGAAATAAAATGGCCCCATGGCCCATGCCCATCAAAAATCCCACAAAATATCATGTCTTCTTGGCATCCAAATTCCTGTTAAAAAGAAAATCAAAACCATGTTGAGCAATTAATATTCAATATTAAGAATCAGCAAGAAACAATCCAAAAGGCTCCTATCTTACTCGAATCTTTTATGATGGTTTATGTTAAAAGTAGCCGTTCATGCATACCTCCCACACAACCAAGGAATCCTGATTAATTCCCTTCTGCCCTCTCTTGGAGCATACTGAGGCAAAGTTATTTGACTTGTTAGACTTAACAATGCCCGAGGAACTCAACATCAACTCATTCTTCCTCGCATCCTTTGCCAATGCTTCTGCAGCTACCTTTCCTGCATCTTTTCGAGAGTTTCTTCCTTTCTTGATTGATACTGTTCCAGCCAATCCATCGAGCAGAGATGGAAAAAGCACCATTGCTTCGACAACCTTATAATGCAACAAATCTCTTTATTTAACTTCACTGTAACTAAATAACTTCTAAAAGCACCCAATGATATGTTCTTATGCACGTTCTTTAGATACAAACTATCTTAAGAAAGGTGAGTTAGAAGAAGATCAAATTCTCTATGATCATCCAAAAGTAAATGTAAAAGAGAAGAAGAGAAGTAAGAGGAAATTAAACAGAGAAGTAAGAGGAAATTAAACCTCGTAAACTATGCTCTTTAATTTGGTTCACAAAAGGAATGATCAGCTGCTAGCCTGAATGCTAAGACTTTAGCCTGACATCTCCTATCACCAGCCGGTATCTGACGTCACTCCCGCAACCCGAACCTGTATTGCTTGGATAATCAAAGGCTACTTGATGCTTATACTCCATTTCAATTTGCATATTCTTTGAAC